AACGTGTCTGTTCCCCTTCCCCCAATTCCCCAGCACTGTTCCCATCCCCTCAATTCCCCAATAAAAATCTTTAAAAAAAAAAAAAAAGAATTGGATTACATGATAGTTAACAAGATTATGTGTTCTCTTTAGGGTGGCTTTTCAAAGGTGTGTTAACCTAGTCCTAGATGCACAGAAACAGTGGACAGGGCTTGTAGGGCTTGTTTAAGGCAAAGAAACCTTTTACTAAAATGTTGCATGCTTAAGGGCATGGCTCCCTACCTAACCTGCCCAGTGAGGAATGTATGATCAGATCACCATGTGAGGTTACTTTCCATAGAACCCCTTTTGTTGTCCACAGCATTTTGGTTAAAATGGTAACTTGTAACTAAGCAATAATTTTTAGACACTAGAATTTCCACAATTTTTTAAATGAACTATAGATGTTTGTCCATTGAGCAGTTGAGTGAAAAGCCAGGAATGAACTGGATAACGCGGGGGCCCAAACTACTTCTAGAGTAGGCTACAGTGTTTAGCAGACATAATCTGTACAGCTCATCATTGACTATAAGAATCTATGTGCATTTTTACTTTCATGTTAATTATATCAAGATTCATATTGAGTATTAATATTAGCAAATTGAGCCTACTTATCAGACTGTGTTGTCTGTCCACTACCATCACTTATTGCTCCATTTTTCCTAGGAAGCAGTATAGGTGAAGAGGAACAGACAACATATTTTTAAAATTTGTAACTTTTTTAAAGGTAGATATGGTATTTTATTATATTTTTCTGTGATATTGTCCCTCAAATGCCCCCTCAACCATGATTAGTCTTTTTTTTTCTTTACCCTTCATGTGGAGTATTAAATAAAAGTATTTGTAAACAACTGGATATAGTTTGCAAGCTCAGTGTGTTAGACAAGTGTGTTAAATTGCACTGTTATATATAATAGCTCATTTAATCCTTACAACAACCCTGTTAGTTAGGTGCTCTCACTGTCCCTACTTCATAGATAAGAAAACTAATATTGGATTGGGATGATTTATGTAACTGTTCACAGCTAGTTTGTAAGTGGCAGAACTAGTACAGTACTCAATTTCAAGTCTCTGATTCCATAGAATATTTTTTTGTTTTTTTGTTTTGTTTTGTTTTTTATTTTTACTACATTACTGGTTGCGAGTTACTTTTAAGTAAATTCATACTCCATAAAAGAGCAGGTATAATTGAATTGGTAAAGCATTTGTTATAAGTTGTACTAAAAACTATTATTTATTTTGTGCAATATTACTATGTAGGTGTTTGCCATGGAAATATTTAGTTTTTCTAAGGATAACTTACAGTCAACTAACTTATAATTGGAACATTTGTTTCTGTGCTTTAAAATGTATTTGTTTCAGGCTAGCTTTATTAATAAAAATATCTTTCTGGCACAAACTTTGAAATTAATCTTTGAATCTTAATTTAGTAAGATCTGTTTAGTAACCCTTGTATTATCAAGGTGCAGAACTGGTGCCTAAAATAGAGGAAGATTTCACCCTGACAGTAGTGCTATTGGTGTGGTATATGTTGTGTGCACTAAGCTAATCAGTCATCAATTTAGAAATTTAGAAAGTGTTGAATGTATATTTATGTCAATTGTAGCATTATTAGTATTCAGACTTACTCTAGTGGAATGTTGTTTTCTTAAGTGCTAGAAGAAAGGATTGACAGCATTATAAATGCTTTTTCTAAGTACTAGCCTTCAGTAATTTTATTAGTAAAATTTCAGGACTCCCATGTCCTAGAAACAGTTGCCCTATGTAGAGCCTAATACAGTCTGGCAGGACTAGGTGGAAAGAGTTATTTCTTTCTGAGGTTTTTCTTTTCGTGATTTTTTGTTGTTGTTGGGGTGGGGGACTCTTCATGTCTTATCTTTGTCTTTCTGGGAAATGAACAACCTTAGGTTCATAAAATTTCAACTTGAATCCCAGACAAGATATCAAGGGATGAAGCTAAAGCTGTACTTATAGAGAAATTTATAGTTTTGAATGCTTGTAAGAGAAGAAGAAAGGTCTAAAATCAATTATCTAAGCTTCTACTTTTAAGAAGCGAGGAAAAAAAGCAAGTTAAACCCAAAGTTAAATAAAAGTAAAAAAAATTAAGAGTAGGAATCAATGAAAAAGAAAAAAAAATAGTAGTTAAAATCAATGAAACCCAAAACTGGTTATTTAAAGTTTTTTAATTTAGTTTATAAACCTAGCTAAATTGATTTTTAAAAAAGAGAACCACATATCAATGTTAGTACTGAATGTACAGATATCAGTACAGATTCTACAGATTTTAAATGGCTTGTAAAAGAATATGAAAAAATTTGTGCCGATAAGTTTTACAACTTATAGAAAATGGACACCTTTCTTTGAAAAATACAAATTATCAAAATGGATTTAAGGAGAAATCAAAAAATTTTGATAGCCCTGTATTAACAAAATTGAATTCATAATTTAAAGTCTTCCCTCAAAGGAAATTCCAGTTCCAGATAGTATCATTGGAGGATTTGTCAAACATTTAAGGAGTAAATAATACCAATTTTAAACACACTCAGAAAACAAAGTAGGGAATACTTCCCAACTCACTTTTGAGGCCAGCATTATCCTGATACCAAAACCAAATGATACTTACAGAAAAAAGATAATTATAGATCAACGTCTCTCATAAACGTAGATGGCAGTAATCATTAACATAATATTAAAAAGTAGGATCCAGTAATCTATAAAAAAGGATGACATACTGTAATTAGGGTTTATCTCAGTAATACAAGGTTACCTTAACATAAAAAATAAATCAATGTAACTCACCATATTATCAAAATAAAAGGGAAAAAACTATATTATTTGTACAGCTGCAGTAAATCATTTGAGAAATTTCAGTACTTGTTCATCATAAAAGCTCAGCAAATGAGGAGGAACTACTATGACCTGATTAAGGGCGTGTATGCAAAGCCTGTCTGACATCATACATGATGGTAAATGACTGAATTCTTCCCCCCTAAAATTGGGAACAAGGCAAGATTGTGTACTCTCGCCAATTCAATAAGGCAAGAAAAAAATGCATATATAAATTAGAAAAGGCAAAGCAAAGAAAGCCCTCTTTTTTTGTAGATCACATGATCATGAATATAAAAAGCTTAAGGAATCTTGAAGCTATCAGAAATAATATGTAAGTTTAATTACAAGGTCAATATTAAAAATTCAGTTGTGTTTTTAATTTCTAGAAATGAAACTAAAAAATTTAAAAATACCATTTACATTAGCATCTTTGACCACAAACTGTTTTAAGGATACATTTTACAAAATATATAAAAGTCCTGTATATTGAAAATTACAAAACTCCGCAGAGAGAAATCAAAGCATCCCTAAATGAATGGAGAAATAGACCATGTTAATAGATTGGAAGATTCAGTAATGGTTAGGTATCAGTTCTCAATTGTATCTGTAGATTCAAGTTA